ATAAATTTATCATCCTCATTTAATAATTCCAAGGCATCCCTCTATAGCTCATTTAATATTCTTCCTTACCAATTCCATTATCATCCTGAGTAATGTAAACATATATGATTATACCCTAGACACTATATAGCCTTATATAGTTCCTCAAGCCTCTCTACAACATCAATAATCATCGATATTATACTTCAATAAATTGTTTATTAAATAAACCCTTTATAAGAACTTCTTAATTTTCAGCCCATCCTATTTTCACACAAAACCTGTTCTTCACCCTTATGAAAATATAGTTTAATTATATCGCACCTAGTTTAGCAGCTATTTCCTAGCTTCTCTTGACCCTATCTAACTTTGAACCCACAGTTACACATTTCAAATACACTCTTCACACTTTCAAATCATTTGCCTAATCCACTTTATACCATAAACCACAAGTGTTAATCCCTAAGGAGGGTGCTCTTGCCCCTAAATTGCTGAGTATTGGGGAAGAAAATCATTTAATTCTACAAATTCTCCACTAAGAAGTTGGGCATTCTAATTTGAAAAGAATCTTCAATGCTATATGGTTATCCAATTAGTTAAACCTTCCATTCTCATTGCCCTAAATGAAAATAAATAAAAACTATAAACCATAAACCTGCTTCTTGCCTTCCTTTTCTCTATACTGGTTGCACATTAGAAACCTAGATCATATTTGTATAAATATCACTGCCTTGGACCCATCCCCAAACAATTAAGTCAGAATATATGGGTATGAAAACCATATATCTATCTGCTCTACATTTTTTATTTGCCTCCAAAGCATCACCTGTTCTTTCTAACAACCTACCTCCACCTTGACCTATAAATTACCTTAACTTTTTTCTAATAACTTCAATTTTTTCTTCTTATAAATCTAAAACTATTCTAAAATTGAAAAGTTAATTACAAAATAGTCTATAACAAAAAAAATAAAAGGTTATTTTGAGCTAGAGGTTATTGAAAAAATTAACAGTTAATATTTAAGCATTCATTTAACAACATAATGCCTTAAATAAAATATTACCTAAAGGATGTATCATGTATCAGTATGTTATGGTTGTTATCAGAATATATACAATTATATGTAACTGTGACATAAATACTATGATGATAAAGTAATTCTAGACTATAGCTCCCAAAAATATAATGATCAAATAAACATATTTCTTCATATAGTGAATACAAAAAACCAATATTTTCAACTTTTAGGAGCAAGTAAATGATTTCCCTAAAATACATATGGCATTATAGCATGCCAGAAGACGTTCTGTATTTTTAGTGGAAACTGAACTCTTACACCAAACTAGCAATTAAGATGTTATTTTTGCCTATGTAGGGCTTCAAAGCATCCCTTTGTTTAACGTACATATTCCCTATCCATATGTGCTAGCCCAGTTCTGGCAACTGTATTAATGCTCACTTGATACTATTCCTCAAATTTGATATGAGGGGAACTCAGAATCATCTAAGTGTTGTTTTTGAAAATACTTTTGTTCACCATCTTCTCTACCCATTTTGTCATGAGTTCGTTGTAAAAAGGTCCCTCTTCAAAATTTCAGAACACTGAAATTCCCTTTCTGCAAGTTAGTATGAGCAAAACTGTTTTTTTTTTTTCTTGACCTGTTACCAATATCTTCAGTTTCCACTACAGTTCAAAATGATTTAGACATTTACATAAAGTCTACAAATGAATATGCAATATGGAGAGTTTGGATGTGGAGCCACCGCACACAAAGAATTTGTTCTTGGGAAAAAAAAAAAAAGTGGTCAGCCAATGTAAAATAAGACAACCTGAGCTGACCTTAACCATTGAGGAATGGAATTTACAATTTAAAGCCTCCTGAAAAAGAAATACCCAGGCCCAAATGGTTTTACTGGAGATTCTATCAAACATTTAAATAAGTAATAGCACAATCTAAAATTGTGTAATTTTACACAATCTCTTCCAGAAAATAAAAGATGAGGAAATATTCCCGACTGGCTTTATGATGCCAATATTATAGTGATACCCAAACTAGACAAACAGTATAATGATATAAAATGTAAAAATAATACAAATCAATATCTATCATGAACTTAGATACAAAATTTTCAACAAAATGTTAGTAAATAGAATCCAGTGATGCAGAAAAAAAATAATATACCACAATTAAGTGTGATTTATTTTAAAATGCAAGACAGTCCAACATTTAAAAATCAGTCAATGTAATTTACCATATCAATAGGCTAAAGAAGCAAAATCATATTCAAAGGATACCAATAAAATTTTGACAAAATTCAACATCCATTCGGGGTTTTTATTTCTCAGAGAACTAGGAATAAACAACTTCCTCTTAATCATCAGAGAAATGCAAATTAAAACCACAATGAGATATCAACTACATCTATCAGAATGCCTTTCAATAAACTAACAAACGACAAGTATTGGCAAGGATGTGGAGAAAATGAAACCCTCATGCACTGTTGATGGGATTGCAAATTGGTGTAGCCACTATGGAAAAAAGTATACAGATCCTCAGAAAATTAAAAATAGAAAACTGTCTTATGACCCAGGAATTTATGCAAAGAAATCCAAAACACTAATTTGAAAAAATAAGCATCCCTATGTTCATTGAAACATTATTTACAATAGCTAAGATATGAAAGCAACCTCAGTGCCCATCAATAGATGACAGGATAAGACATGATATGTATATATTATGGAATATTACTTAGCTATAAAAAAGAACAAACTCTTACCTTTGCGATAACATAGGTGGACATAGAAGGTTTTATGCTAAGTAAAATAAGTCAAACAGAGAAAGACAAATACTGAATGTGGAATCTAAAGAACAAAACAAATAAACAAAACAGAAACAGACTCAGAAACAGAGAACTGATTGTTACCAAATGGGAGGAGGATTGGGGGGCTGGGTGAAAAAAAGTGAAAGGGATAAAGAAGTACAAAATGGTAGTTACAAAACAGTCATGGGCATGTAAAAATATAGCATAGGGAATAAAGTCAATAACTATGTATGGTGCCAGGTGGGTACTAGATGGGGAGATCACTTCATAAATTATAGAAATGTCTAACCACTGTGCTGTATATCTGAAACTAAAACATTGAATGTCAATTGTAACTGAAAAATAAAAGAATTTCCTCAACTTGATAAAGAACATCTACAAAAATCCTATAGCTATATCATACTTAATGATGAAAAACTAAATGCTTTCTCCCAAATATCAGATCAAAATGCAAAACATAAAACTAAGTTTTATAAGAAAAAGTTTTCTATAAATCTGAGAAGAAGAAAAAAAAAATTTGGGATTTAGGGCTAAGCAAGGAATTCTTCAATTTGATAACAAAATTAAGAACTATAAAAGGAGAAACTAATAAATTTGACCTCATCAAAATTAAAATCTGCAAAACATTCTGTTATGAGCATGAAAACATAAGCCATGGAAAACATAAAAGAAAATATTTGAAAACCTCATATCTGACGAAGGACTAGTCTCTATAATATATTTAAAAAAAAAAAAAAAAAAACCTATCAAAACCAGTAAAAAAAAATACAAATAGAAATGGGCAAAAGACAGAAACAGATATTTTCACCAAAGATGATATACAGATGACAAACAAGCACATGAAACAACGTTCAACAAGATTAAAAAAAGCACTTAAAAAGATGTTCAACACCATTAGCCATTAGAGAAATGAAAAAACCACATGAGATTGCACTCTATATCCATCAGAATGGCTAAAGTAAAATAATGACAACACCAAATTTTTAAGAGGATGTGGAAAAACAAGATCACTTATACACTACTGGTGGGAATGCAAAATGATACAGCCACCACGGAAAACATTTTGGCAGTTTCCTGTAAAGCTGAACATGCAACCACCATACAACCCCAGCATTACACTGTGGCATTTACCCCAGAGAAACACAAAAACCTGTACAAGAATATTCATAGTGGTTGTATTTGTAATAGCCAAAAACTAGAAACAATTCAGATGTCCTTTAACACATAGATGAACCTGTGGTACATCCATACCATGGAATATTACGCAGTAATAAAAAGAATGAACTGTTGATAAATGCAACAACTTGGACGGAGTTTGAGGAAATCATGTTAAGTTAAAAATAGCCAAACCCAAAAGGTCATAAACTGTATGATTCCATTTAACAGTCTTGAAATGACAAAATTACAGAAATGGAGAACTAATTCTGGAGGTGAGGAGTGGAATGAGTGTGTGCGGTGGCTATAAAGGGCAACGGGGGGATTCTTATGGTGACAAAACTGTTCTGTATCTTGAGTGTATTGAAACCAACACTGCTTATGATACTGTACTATAATTTTGCAAGATGTTACCAGTGTAAGATAATATGTAAAAAGTATATGATTTGTCTATTATTTCTTGCAAGTGGACGTGAACCTACAATTATTTCAAAAAAAATTAATTAAACAACAGCATTTACTGAATATGTATTATATTTGTATCTGTCCAAAATTTTCTTTAGTACGTTCCTACTGAAAAACATTTCATTTATCTCAAATTGCTTACCTCCATTTAACAGGAAGCAAGTTCTAATCACTGGACGTATTGAAAAGTAAATGAACTTCCTTATCAAGCATGTTCCCTCTATTAAACTGTTAAAAGAGAGTATGTCTAAAGGGGCTACTTCATTGTCTATAAGATATAATTAAATGATCTACAAGGGAATATCCGAACCAAAATTCTATCATATACTTACCTTTATATAGGACATAAAGACAAATCTTTTTTTTAATGACTATATGTTGAATTGCTCAATAAATATTTTACACAATAAAAGAATATTAGCCTATCCAAGTCATTTTCAAAACTACAATGACTTTTAACTTACTTTTAAATGCACAGTTATATTTGAGTACAATACTGAACAACTATTTAATTCTACTATATACATTTATCTTAAATATATAAACATGAGACAATACTTTTTTAAAAAATAAATCACCTGCACACAGAACACTGCCGCTGAGGCTGAAGAGCTGTAAACATAACAATCATAGAATAGTTTCGAGGTGGTGCTTTTATAAATTTTCGGAATTTATCACCATTCATTCGGAAGATTGAACGCCTGGAACTCCATTCCATCAGCTGTTCTACTTTTTCGGCTAAAAGATTCTGCAATTAAAAATAGAAATTTAAATTTACACAGGGTTAAAATCCTTCAGTTTGCATTTCCTATAAACAGAATTATATGAGATTATATTTTAACAAACATTAATTTCTGTTAAAAGTCCTTGTTTTGGTTAATATATTCACTGTTAACTGTACATGCATAAAATATTTCATTTTTCCTAATGATCTCAAAGGTAATAAAACAGATCAAAGGTAAGAGACAGACTTCTACTTCCAGAAGGATGAAATAAACATGCTTTTCTCTAATTCTCCCACTAAATATAGCTAAAAACTTTGGTCACAATATTGAAAAAAAAAAAAAAAGCATAAGAAGGCTTGGAAAAGTGGAAACAAGGAGGAGGACTGGCTATGGATCTCAGGACCAGAAGAATGACATGATGATAAGTTCCTTGGGTTTTCTTTTTGCCTCATCTATGCCAGACTGCTTGCTAGAGAAGTCCACAATCCAAGAATGCCAATGGATACAGAAAAAAAAAGGCCCCAAGAAAAGCCTGCTCTCTCTACCAAAAAAAAGAGGCAACCTAGTAAGACAAAAACAAATGAATAACTGCTCTACTCTAGCCAAACACCACCGAAAAATAAAATAATAAAATAACTGCAGTCCCGCCACTACCCTCACTAGCAAAGCCTAAATGAAGAGCCTCGACTCAACTTGAAATTTCCCTCTAAGCTTTAATATGTAACAAATAGAGGACTCTCACAAAAACAAAGCTGATTGAAAGAAGCTTATGTACAGAGTGCTGTATGGTTCTACTAATATCAAGGTCAAAAACAGGAAAAAAAAAATCTTCCGTTCTTAAAATCAGGATAGTAGCTAATCTGGAGCAGGCAGAGGGACAGTGGGGAGGCACCGTGCAAATGGAGCTGGGCAACAATGCAAATGGAGTTGGGGTGCTAATATTCTGTTCTGGAGTAGGGGGTAAGGGTAGGAGGAAGTAACACTCTAGCTTCTGTAGAGAAAACTCTTAGTCTTTAGAACATTCATTTTACCTGAAAAAGTCTGAGAAGTGGAAAGTTTATGGTGGTTTATGCCTACAAGAAAAGAAATTGTCTATCCTTGGAAAACCAAACAAGCATAAGTGGTTAGGGGAGAAAGGCTTGAATTGTGCCTTTTAAGCAAACTCTGTACTAGAACTTAGATGGAATTGTAATCTCTTACCCTTTCTTCTCAAGTGAAAAAGTGAGAACGGCTCCTCATGAAATCACTCAGAGACCAGGCACATATTCAAGGAGAGAATGCAGAATGATATAGCCACTATGGAAAATAGTATGGAGGTTCCCAAAATATTAAAAATGATTCCACAATCCCACTTCTGGGTATATATCCAAAATAAATGAAATCATAATCTCAAAGAGATATCTACCCCTAATGTTTACTGACATCATTCATAATAGCTAAGATATGGAAACATCTCAAATGTCCATTGACAGATGAACAGATAAAGAAAATGTTGTGTGCGCCATTTGCAACAACATGGATGAACATAAAAGACATTATTTCTAAGTGAAATAAACCAGTCACAAAAGGACATGATTCCACTCACATGAAGTATTTAAATCATACAAGCAGAGAACAGAGTAGTGGTTGCCCGGGGATGCAGGGAGAGGGAAATGGAAATGGGAAGTTGTTGCTCAGCAGGTATAAAGTGTGAGTTATAGAAGATGAATAAGCTCTAGAGGTCTGCTGTACAACATGGTGCCTATAGTTAACAGTACCATATAGTACACTTTAAAATGTTGAGGGCAGATAGCATGTTAAATGTTCATACTGCAAAATGCACACAAGCACACAATAAATTTTTGAAGGTGATGAATGTGTTTTTAGTACTCTGATTGTGGTGATGGTATCACAAGTGTGTGTGAACACACACATTATGTGTGTTCAATCTTTTGTGTATTAATTATAACTAAATAAAACTAATAAAAAAAAAAAAAGGGAGAGAGAAGGCAACTTATCCTCAGGGAAAAGACTCATTGAAACGCTTTGTACCTATTTAAGAAAGACAAAAGTAATATTGAAAAAAATAGATTTTGTCACTTTTAAACTATTCCCTTTTTGCTTAAATGGTGAACAATATAGAAATTAATGTATTTAAAGTAAATATCTGATTATATCTTGTGAATTATTTTTGCTTAAAAAGTCTCAATGTATTATATGAAATGTCTCAATTCTTTAAAATGTAAAAAAAAAAAAAAAATCCATGTTCTGGCACTACAATGAATAACAAATGACAGCATCATTAAGAAGTGAAATATCCCTCCTATTCTCTTTTAGTGTCCCAATTCCTCGATTATCCAGATTAGAACATCAGCAAAATGCACACAAAAACTTTCCTATGAGTTTTAAGTACCAAACAACTTTTAATATTTTCTTCCAAAACGTAAGCATGTGGGATGATGGAAGTGTTCTGTCTCATACTCTGGTGATGGAACTATAAGTATGTCTTTGCCAAAACACACAGAAATATGCAACACAAAAATGAATCTTATTTTATGCATTTTTTAAAACAACCAAGACTGGGAGAGGGGTCACAAAATGAAATACAAACTGTAACAAATGAACCTGACTGTATTACTAGTTAATAGTATAAAGATAATTTTGGAAAACAACATTTGATTAGATACTGTTAGAGCTAGAGAAAATAACTGTACATAAATGCCATACTCTACTTATTTTATTAAGCACTTCTGTTACTTTATGAATATACTAGAGTTGAACAAATAACCATATTATAGATAATGAAAGCCAGATTTATCACTGTCAGAAAAAAAAAAAAAACTTACAAATAAGGAGAGGTAGAAGCTAAAATAAATCCTGTGGTACTGGACAGTAGTTGAAGGCACCTATATTAACTTCTGGCTTTAAAACAGAGATCTGTATTTCTATGTTTTAGAGAGATACAGAAATAAATGTGGACCTGTTTACACGGGTCAGTACACATATATTCCCCAGTTCTGTCCTCTGAAAGGGCTGAGGAGTGATGATGTCCCAACACCAAGGAGCATACCTAATACTAACATCTTAGTTTCTAAATATCAGCCTCCATTAAAGAAACCAGGGTTCTCTGGAGAAATAGTTGATTAAAACACTGAGGCAGAGAGAAACAACATGAGACTAGAACACCTTGTAATACCAGAAAGTAAAGAAGCTCTCAAAATGGCATGTCAAAGGACATAGGAGCCAACTGGAAAAAGTTCCCAAACCAAAGTTAGAAAAATTTAAGCAACAGAAATGACAATAGTATTGAATTCTGAACTACATAATAAAAAATGTCCATCAGTCCATATTGATATAATTAAGATAATTGAATGAATGAACAAATAGGAGAAAAGGGATAGCTTTACCTTACAGAAGAATTCCAAATAATTAATGTAGCAGCAGTAAGGGAAATAGAGAAGCACATTAGACCACCAAAGTAAATACGACCCGCCAATGGGTTCTAAGTTTTGTGGATAAAATTTTAAGGAGAAGCAAAATTTACATAGTCTCAAAGTATCTTCCCAAAGATGTTTTAATTACCACGAGAAACATTAAAAAAAAAAAAAAATAGTACCATGATAGTGAAGAAACCCAGCAGACAATATGCCATCCAAATAATCAGTGATAACAGTACCAGTAATAAGACATATCAACATCATGTACTCCCTGATGATCCACTGAGAAGATCACATCACTTCTGTGATGTTCTTGGCAAAAATGCATAACCTCAATCTAATCATGAGAAAATATTGCACTAACTTAAATTTTGTAACATTCTACAAAGTAACTGACCAGTACTCTTCAAAGGTGTCAAGTTCATGAAAGACAAGGAAAGACTAAGGAACTGTCACAGACTGGAGAAGACTAAAGATACATGGAACAGATCCTGAAACAGGAAAGTGACATTAATAGAACTAGTGAAAACTGAATTATGACTAAAGGTTAGTTAATAGTACCAATCCAACTAATGTTAATTTCTTGTTGTTGATAATTGTACATTGCTAACCTTGGGAGAAATTGAGTGAAAGGTATATGGGAATGCTGTACAATTTTTGCAATTTTCTGTAAGTTTAAAATTATCTCAGAATAAAAGGAAAAAGAAAAATATAAACATATGTTATAAAAATACATTAGTTTCTTAAACTTTTTAATGTACACAAGTTTTACCTATTGGTCCATCTTCGTTGAGATAAGAGCTTTCTGTACTATAAGTTCAGAGAGATGGTTATAATTTAGTGTTGCTTTATAGTAGCTCATTTTCAAAATGAATTATTTTTAATTTTTGAAAGTATTATGATCAGGATCATAAAGGTGAGAAAAAAAGAAAACACTCAAGCAAAACTCTTAGATCAAGAGATTTTGATAGACTTGTTAGGAAATTCTGAGATTGATATTCGAAGCATGTCCTAAAGAAACAAGCATAGTTCCAAAGTGCATGTGTTTACACATGAGAAGCATTCCCTAATTCAAAAATATTTACTGAGTATCTACTACGTGCCAGGCACAAAATTAGGACCTAAGAATGTAAGAGTAAATATGATACAGTTCTTGCCCTTACTGACTTTATAGAGTGATGTTTCTCAAATTTTAATTGTGTACTGATCCTTTTTAAAGAAAATTCTTGAAGCCCATTCTCCTAGGTGTCTTTAGTTATTCCAATATTTAGAAATATAATAAACTCCTTGTTGTTCTATCTCACATAATTAAAACGAATTTAAAATTACAAAGGTAATGTCAAAACTTATTCACAGAAACAAACAGCAATTTAATATGATAAATGATGTTTAATAAAAACTAAAATGGCACTTGTTACTTGAAAACAACACTGTCAGTGAAGGTACACATTCTTTATACTGGTTATAGAATGATTCATTCTTTTTGCTACTTGGTGAGATAATTATGCTATAAAGGAAAATGGAAGCCAAATCATAAAAGCCTTAAAAAATTAAAGGTTAAGCCAAGATATGGAAACAATCTTAATACTCACTGATAGATGAATGGA